ATATATATATATATATATATATATATATATATATATATATATATATATAATGAAAATGTAGAAAAACATCCAAAATATTTAATAAATTTCACTTGGTATTCTATTGTTTAACAGTGCGATTAAAACTGTGATTAACCCCAATTAATTTTTTTAGTTAATCGCGTGAGCTAACTGCAATTAATTGATAGCCCTATTTTTAAATGAGGAGACATACACATACTGTGCTGTCTGTCATGGAGCCTTTACTTTAATACTTGTTGTTTTTCCTTAATCTAAAACAAGTAGTTTTTTTGCTAGAAGCTTCCTGTTCTGCCATTTTGTGTCTTGAAACCTAACATTTCCCTGCTTCACAGAGAAATGTGTGTGGCCTAACTTAAATAATGCTTGGGAAGCATACAAGAGCAAAGCATTTATTAACGCCAGCCAGTGCAGAGTTGGGAACAAAACTCAGGATCTTCTGACTTCGAACCCTGGGCTAATTCTACTTCAGATGGGGCTACCTTTCTATAAACCTATCACTAGGCTTTTCCAATAAACCGCTGCCAATTCTGCAAAATATCTGAACTTCAGGTTCGCAAAGTAACATTAATTGAGCTGGTGTAAACATTTGTCTATTTTATTATGTTCTCCCTATTAGCTCTCTAATCCTCAGGAGAGATGCTTGGAGCTTCAGAAGCTGGATGGACTTTTTATTGAATCTGACCCTACATGTTGCACAGGAGGTGATTTATCTTTAGAAAGGCTTTGATAAAATAACACAAGATAAAGCTGCAGTACATGAAGTCTGGGGACATATTACTGTTTGTGCAGTAACCCCGGGCCCGGTTCATGGGTACCGCAGGACTGCCATGTACAATGATATTTGTATTTAAATAGATAGGTGCTATATAATACTGGAAATGCTGAAATGCACAGTGGTGGATGTTAGGCTGGATTTTTAACAGTTTCTGGAAACTATAAAAACAAACATTTGTAATAATTAAATGTATTTTTTTCTTCAAAATATGCTGTTTTGTTAAAGCCAGAATGTTTTGTGGAGACTTACTGGTTTTTGAGGAAGTTTATGTCCAGAAGGTTTCTGAGGTCCAGAGCTATCTAGTCATGTCTGGGGAGAGAGAAACTGAATACCTGATCGCTGAGTAGAAAATGGACCTTTTGGTACAAATCTGATTCTTGAAAATGTTTAAAGGGTTTTTGGTTTTGTTCCAGAGCAGAACAAAAACATAATTTGAAACCCCTAAAAATGTCATGAAATGGAATTGTCATCATCTGGCCTGCTTTAGTGACAAGCCAAGGAAGCAGTCCTACAAAGACTGCCTGTTGAGCATAGGCTTCGACTTGAAAAATCAGATCCACTCAGGTGAATGCTTGCGCCCATATGCTTCGTGTGCAGTCCAATGGCACTAGGGTTCACCCTTGAAAAGCTGATTAGATCTACAGTGTATACTACCAAGTGTCCGAGGGGTAGCCGTGTTAGTCTGTATCCACAAAAACAATGAGGAGTCTGGTGGCACCTTAAAGACTAACACATTTATTTGGGCATAAGCTTTTGTGGATTTAAAACCCCCACTTCTTCAGATGCATGGAGTGAAAATTACAGATGCAGGCATTATTATACTGACTCATGAAGAGAAGGGAGTTACCTCACAAGTGGAGAACCAGTGTTGACTTGGCCAATTCAATCAGGTTGGATGTGGTCCACTTCCAATAATTGATGAGGAGGTGTCAACACCAAGAGAGGGAAAGTTGCTTTTATAATGAGCCAGCCACTACCAGTCCCTATTCAAGCCCAAATTAATGGTCTTAAATTTGCAAATGAAGTTTAGTTCTGCAGTTTCTCTTTGAAGTCTGTTTTTGAAGGTTTTTTTTGTTGAAGTATGGCTACTTTTAAATCTGTTAGAATGTCCAGGGAGATTAAAGTGTTCTCCTACTGGCCTTTGTATGTTACCATTCCTGATGTCTGATTTGTGTCCATTTATTCTTAAAAAGCAACAGAGGGTCCTGTGGCACCTTTGAGACTAACAGAAGTATTTGGAGCATAAGCTTTCGT